CACAGATAAGCAGGAAAGGGCTTCCCACCTTCCAAAGGCCTGATGGTCACTGTAACTTATGCATATAAGAGGGCAAGCATGCCAGCCTGAGGCACTGGGTGGTGCCAGCCAGTCAAAGATGCAGCAGAGGGCTCATTAGAATAAGAGGCATCCTGACCATAAAGTGGCAATTCACTCCCAAAGACTAAGAGTAGGTGTGCCTGGGAGCCGCACCCCAGAACCATGCTTTACATGTGAAACCTTGTGGTCATGACTGCCAGCAACTAGGGGTTCCACTGAGGAGGCTTTTCGGTCAGTTGTGGGCTTCATATAGTCCATCATCAGCAGGGGGCAAGACTAGGGCTCCTTCCTGACCCTACGCTTCACTTGGTTCTTGCTGTTCCCAGTTCTTAGGTCTAAGTGCCCATTGATGTCATAGCCCTTATCTTCTGGTTTTGTTCTCCGGTTGCCTGTGGGCACCTTGCTCTGGTGCACAGACTTGAAGTTGCAGAGTGGTGAGAAATCCCTAACGTTCCTTTTGCCAACAAGTGTGTTTGCCTTCTTTGACTCTTGATTTTAAAATCAGATATAATGTTTTATCTTTAATTAAGGTCTACAAAATGTTTAACATCTAGCAGCTTCATGATGGGGAAAATATGTTATTCATTTTGGGCTGTTTCCAGTTTGCAAGGTCTTTGAGTAGCATTAATAAAATGTATATACTAATTCATTAATTAAAAAGAAATTCAGGAAGATGCCTGGTGGTCTAAAAGATGGGGTCTAACAAATATTTCTTACATGGAATGGGTTAAATTTCTAATCTGGAGAGGCCAGGCCTGCAGAATTAGGTGCAGGCCTATCCTGTGTGGCATGTAGGTCTCCTGAGTGCAGGAAGGAGGGTCTGAAGAGAAATATCCAAGTTGGCCCCAGCTCAGGTTGCTGTGGCTGCCAGGGGTAGGGGAGGAACATGAGCAACCTGTTTCTTTTTTAGGCCATAGGCTTGAGCAAGTTGTTTCAATTCTCAGAAATTCAATTCACTTTCTTGTTTGTCCAAAAAAAGATAGTAATACCTGACCTATTTCAGAGTTGTTTTGAGTATAAAAGAAAATCAATACATAAGAAGTGATAAGAAAAAATAAATGATAGTCCACAAATAGGAGATACCGGGATGCATTTCTCTTTGCATTGACAGTTAAAACAAAACATTGAGTTTCTTTTTCACCCCTCCCCAGAGCAGAAGGGCTGCTTGCAGACAGGTGCTTTCTGGGTCTTGTGTGTGTGTGTGTGTGTGTGTGTGTGTGTGTGTGTTTCTTTTCTGATACTATCAGAAATTGCCTTACACTGAGGAAACTAGGAGAGGCTTCATGAATTTGTACATTTAAAGACTTCTATTTGTCCCCAGTGTTCACGGCCTTACTACAAAGTGGAAAAAAAAATAAAAAAATAAAAAGCCCTGATGATCTCATAGGTCTTTCTACCTCTGAAACAGATGGTATGATTCACATACATTTGACATAAATGTACCAGGTTGTGATGATTTGCCTCATTATGCTCAGCTGAAGAGTGGATTAACTGGCAGTAATATATTAGGGATGTAAAACATGACCTCTGATTAGAACAGAAGGTAGGAGTGGGCTGTTCCATGGTTAGAGCAATGAATTATGACTCAAGGCACTAAGTTTCTAATCACAGGTCTGTAAACTTGTGTGAGGAACTGGGAAGTCTGCTGGAGACCTTCAGACATACCCTTAGTTTGTATGTGCAGGCTATCTATTCTCATAAACATTATAATGCACACTTCTTCTGAGAACAGTGTGGGTGATAAAATTAACGGTTAATAATGCTAGAGACAGCCATCCCTAAAGATTTCTGAATGCCTGTGATGCTAACAGTATTCAGACTGTCACCTATAAATGCTAGTGAAATGCAAATCCCATAGTTTCCAGAAAATCTATCCGCTACTTTTCCCCCTTCAAGTCAACCATTTACCCTCTTAGTACCGTAAAACAGACTTTGATGACGGAAATATTCCCTATTTACTCTGTCCAGCAGTACGCACTGCTGCTTGAACTTGAACTAGGACTAGTGAGGCTCCAGAACTCAATTTTCAATTTGATTTAATTTTAACTAATTGAAATGCATATGACAATAAACCTGTGGTGTGGCCAGTGGCTACTGACTACTGTTTCGGATAGCGAGGCTGGAGCCAAATTAACTAATGAATTAGTCAGTCTATCTTCAAGAGAGCTTTTTTTGTAGCTCGGATACAAAACAGATATCCCAACAGATATCCTAACAGATACCTCAACTGATAATCAAAGATGGAAGATGGAGAAGAGAATAAAAAGCACTCCCATCCCCTCTAGACATAGTGTTTTTTTTTTGTTTGTTTGTTTTGTTTTGTTTTTTTTGCCTCTTTCATGTAAATTCTGTGACAGGAAACTCTGCAGTATACTACAACAAACCCTGAGCTCTAACCTTACCATTTCCCCACAGCATTCCCTAGGCCCAAGACAGTCTGGAGACTGGCCAGGCTCCTCAATCTGCCACCTCGTACCAGAGTACACTTATTCACAGTATACACCTGTGTGGTGCAAAGCACATATTGTTCCTGCATACCTTCATTTATTATCAACCATCTTTTGTATGTGCATATATGTACATATTTTATATATAATATATATATATATTTCTAAATAGTACACTTCTCAGGTATCATAAGCTCTAGTGGCATGGGGGTTTGGTCACTGTCATTCCCCTTACACATTGCCCAGCAAGTCAGATGCAATTAGGGGCTTAAAGAATGCTTCTTGATAATGAATAAAAAACCATTAGATTCAGTGGGATTTTTACAGCTATTACACACACACACACATGTATGCATGTGTGTGTGTGTGTGTATATATATATATATATATATATATATATATATATATATATATATTATTATTTTAGTTGTCAATTGACCTTTATTTTATTCATTTATTTACACGTGGTGCTGAGAAGTGAAACCCAGGTCTCATACATGTTAGGCAAGTGCTGTACTACAGAGCTACAACCCCAGCCCAGCTATTAATTTTTTTTTGAGTTCAACACATTCCAAAACAATGTATTAGTGCCTTTGTAGAATTTGATGAGAGGAGTGGGTTACACTTGGTTATTATGGGGAAGGACTTTGCAAGTGGTTATATTTTTTTCTGTTTGATGTCATGATTACTTGAATGTTAGGAAAAGAGTCCTGCACTCAGCAGGTGGTTGAATGGCTCTGAGGAAGAACGATAATATGATAAATATATTAATGATCCCAATTTTCTTAATAGTAAAAGAGCAAGAAAATAAGTCATTTTTCATAAAACAATCATTATGTTCTGCTAAGGACTAGTAAACATGACTGAAAAAAAGTGGGTAAGGAACTTTGCAATTTATCCAAGCTGGGAACTAGATACAAGCAGCATGTGAATTATGGCTGTTGTACCCATTGGCTTCCACTGTCTTCTACTTATCTCTTTGCATGTACGTGTTCTAAAGAAAAAGAAAATCATTCATTTTGCTCCCAAATTCATCCTTAACTGAAAGATCAAAATGTAAATAAAGAGGAATTTACTAGTAATAAAACCCTTGCATTATTTTTCAGTACAGGGAATCAAATCCAGAGCCTTGTGCATGCTAGGTAAGTACTCTACCACTGAACTACACCCCTAGATTTTCTCTCTCTTTTTCAAGTTAAAAGGTCTACAATAAACAGCACTGCAAAACAGTGATTCTCAAAGTGGGGTTCTTAGAGCAGCTGCATGTGTATCACCTGGGAGCTTGTTAGAAATGCAAATTTGGGGGCCCTGCCCTGCTCCAGACCCGCTGGAGCAGAAACTTTGGGGTGGGGTCCAGCCATCTGCATTACTTAAAAATAAAACAAAACAAAAAACCCCTCCACATGATTCTGACGCATTGATGTTTAGGAATGATTGTTTAAACTAATTTTGAAATAGTTGATTGAGTGTTGTACTAAATGAGTATCTCTATAAATAAGTCTAACCAAACACTAAACATGTCCAGTCAATAGACCAGTTCTGAGATCTAATAGCTCTTGTGCTACCAGGGATCCGCTTAACCCTCCTCTCTGCTTCTAGGAGGCTACCAGGGCTGGGGTGGGAGCTACAGAGCTGAGCCAACAAACTCATCTTCTTCCCAGTGGGAGATGGAAGAATACAAAAAGGGGCACACAGAGGAATTGGATATTGGAAATCTTTGAATTCAAAGATTTCATAGAAATCCATTAATTTAATCTTTTCCCTTTTGGAACAAAGCAAATATTTAGCACTTTCCAATCACTTGTACACAATGATAATCAAAAGAAAGATAGTGCTTATAGAATTAAAAATAAATCTTTTCAGAGAATTGCTTTATAGCTCCGCTGAGCCTGAGTACCCTTTGTGATGAGTACAGGTGTTGACAAAGAGCAGTGTCTGGATAATTCGCTGCCCGTATGTGTGTCCACACGCTCACTTCCCAGCTCCTTGATCCTCCATCATAACATTTATTAACCAGAATCTTCTAATCACAGACACAATTGCAATTCCAGATTGTAAGAGGAATTATCGAGACATTATTTGTCCAAATGATTCGAAGGCTTTCAAATTTCTGTTGGATAACAATGTTTGCTCATGTAACACAGACTTTATCTACCCCAAGAACACAAAGACAAAAAAGTGTCAGAGGACCAGACGCACAATATTATTTTATGATATTTTTCATCATGAGACAGATCTCCAACCTAAGAAAAATGAAAATGCAAACTCTGTTCAGTAACTTTTTTCACTTTAAATTGCACCTCTCATCACGACCTATTACACCCACATAGTCATGTGCCATAGGCACTGCAGACTGTCTCCAACATTTCAAAGGCTCAAAAGCTATTTTTAAAGCCAAAATACAATCTAGGTTGCTATTCTATAAAACATTTTTTAAGGGAAGAACAAAGTAATACAGTGATTTCTATGCACAGGAGCAATTAGCCAACTCACCAAAAGATTGAATGCAGCTGTCAATGAGATCGTCCAGGCTGGCTCCTTTGGCCAAATGTCCCAGGGACACCATCATTCGGAACTGGGTGATCTGGGCCAGACTGGGATGGGAAGGGAAGGGGCTGTTGGCTGATTTCGCCTCTAGTCTTGCTTTAGGGGCAGCTCTGGAGCCATGGGAAGGTTTCCTGGGGAAGAGAGAAGGCAGTGAGGGCAAGCAGAGCAGCTCCAGGCTCTGAAGGAGATTGGACAGCAAAAGGCGTGGAGATAAAACAATTAATCCCCAGAGTTGGGCTGATAGAATACATACCCCTCCCACTTAGCAAATGCACCAAATGGACTGGTTGGCTGTTAAAGAGACATCTCCCCAGCAAATGACAGGTGAGATTTTAGGATTGCAACTGTGGCTCTTTGCCCTGGCTTGAGGATTGCTCTGTCCTGCTGTTTCCTGGTTCCCAAAGGGGAAAGGCAGAGGCAAGACTGTATCTTGGCAAGACTGTATCTTGTATCTTGGTTTCTATCAATATATATATTTTTTTATTTTAGCTGTTAGGCCCCTGACTTGGACCTTAACAGAATTAAGTTGGCCTAGTCTTCAGTTAAGTTCATTCTTCATGAGCAAAACCAGAGATGTTGCAGGTGGCCAGGCAGCCTCAGAAACATCTTTAAGAACTTTAAGGGAGAAGTTAAAGACTGAAGCATATGGAGTGAGGAATCATGGTGGTGGTATTTAGATTTTAAGTTAGCTCTGCCTTTATTACAAATATTGGCTAATTTTAAGAAACGGTGTCATTATTGATAATACAGGTAGTCATTATGGGCCATTTTAATCATTACACATTATTCCATGAAGTATTTTTTAGCAATTAAAAAAGAAAGCTGAGCTAAGAGAGGTTTGTTCCAGAACTAAATGTAAAAAGAGAAGTTTGGATCTGGATCTAGATCCAGGATCCAAAGACCCTTCATTTTCCTCACTTAGTTTACCTTTGGTCATGGCCTAGTCTGTACGAGTTATTTTGCAAAACTCTCATGATCATTAAGTATTTTATTTTCCTCTTTATTAAAAAATACATTCACACAGATACATATCTGAAATCTCTTAAGGGCAATGATAGGTATTGCTGCTCATAGCTTTTTTAGCATGTAGCTAATTTTCCTTCCCTATTGTGGCTTTTTTTCCAATTTACTCCCAAAGAAGAGAAAGGACAAAGTGCAAGAGACATATACCCCATAACTGTGACTTTGTGCTCATCACATTTTATGATCAACACAAAATGGAATCAATTAATCGGTTAGTGCTTATTCTATGAGCAAGACATTGCATTAGGCTAGAGGGACCACAGTGAGATAGTATACCTGAGGGTACTTTGTATGCCAAAAAATATGCTCATTGTATGTTAGGTGTTATGTAAAGGCAATCTAGAATTTCTTTTATATATATATATATATATATATATATATATATATATATATATATATATATATATAAACCTAGTTGGGGAATCAGACTGAGATAATAAAAGGGTAACTACATAATTTTTAAATAAGTGTCCTGTGAGGGTCAAGGACAAGAAATACGATGTCCTCAGAGGAGGGAGAAGCAGTTTCTGGGTGAGTGTTGGAAGAGCTTCTCTGACAAGATAATATCTCACTCAGAAGGGGCTAAGTGCTTAGATCAACAAAAAATGTTGAGCACACCTGGGTTTTGGAAAGCCAGCCTGCCATAAGACAACTCTCTGAACACGGGCCAATCAGTACCAGGCCAGTCTCAAGGAGGGAGCACCTCGGGGCTTCAGGTTCTGTTTCAAACTAGCTTTGGGACACTGGTCTGTGGTAGCAATAGGCTCTGTTCCAACCTGGAGTGAGGCCAATTAAAACGAATCACCAATTGGTTACTGAGTTTTGCTAACCCAAGGCAGTGATTCCTGAAAGAGTGAAATGATGACTCAAACAAGTTTCTGGCCATTACTGATTTTTACTCAGGTCCTATGATAGCCTCAGAATAAAATGATAATCTAAAAACAAAACAGTAATGGCCACCATGAATTGAGTACCTATGCTATGGGGGCACTGTGTTGGGGATCTGCATTGTCTCTGAAGTTGTTATTTTCATATCATGATACTCAGGCTGAGTTAGAAAAGAGCCTAAAGGTTGCACAACTTGAGCTGGATTGGGATTTGTTCCCGGAGCCTCCATGGCTTTAGAGTAAAAAATATTTACTGTGCCTTCAATTGTGAACCTTCCACTACATCAGAATTGGCAAGCAGACTCACAGAGAGGCTGAAAAGGTTAATTCAATGTAAAACAAGTTGAAGCCTTCAAAAACATAGCTTACAATACAGAGGCTGAATCTCTGTCCTTATTCCTTCTTCAGGTCCTTGAAACTCTCCTCAGAACTTCAGGGCTGGATGGATTTTTCACATTCATTTTCCAAACTCCTTGCCTATAGATATAGAGGTCCAGGCTTGGAAAGGCAATGTGACTGGCGACCAGGGCAAAGCAGTCTAAAACCCAGCCTCCTAGGCCCCATGCCATATTTCCCAGCTGGGCTCCCTTCCCTTCTTGGAAGTACTGACAAGTCCCTAAACCTGGCCCAGTGTAGGGATTAGTTAGCTTTCTGCTTCACCTGCTGCCTTAGCATCATTTAGATCACCTCCAAAAGCAGAGTAGGAGAAAGACACAAGTCCTGTCCTTCCTGGTAAAAGTCTCTTTTCTCTTTTCCACAGTAGTTTTCCCTAGACTCTGGAAAAGAGGCAAAAGCACAGCACATAGGGCACCTGTCCTGCTTTGCAAACAGAGCTCATCCTGCTGAAGCTGGGAGGTGACTGGAGATTCAGAGAAAATTCAATTTTCTTTCTTAGTTGGTGGCACTGGTCAATCAGGTCTTCTTAACCCACCCTGTTCTCTAGTTCTAGTAACATGTCCTGGTGTGGCCACTAAGGGAAACCACTTTGATTCATTTGGCACTTCTCAGAGGTAGGTGCTTTTACCAGAATTAGAATGAACTGTGATAGATAGGAATAAAGAAAGATCTAGAAAGAAGTATTTAGGGTAGAAAAAAAGGGGGAAGGTGAGATGCAACTTGGAAAGTAGGAAGGCCTGAGATACCAGACTTGGGCATTGGAAATGGGGGAGGGGAATTATTACAAATTCACTGCCCTAAGATAGGATTAACTGCTCCATAAATGGAAACTTGGCTCTTTTGCTGTTTAGTCTCTTGACTGGTTGCTTTATGAAAAATCCTCAAATTGCTCCTCTGTCTCTTCTGGTGAAATGGTGGCAGATAAGGATTTATGAGATATTTTATTGTAGGAAGGTGTAAGGGTGTTTTGACAAATGATATAATGAATAGTCTAGTTCTGAAAAAGCATATTTTTAAAGGATAATTAAGCCAAATGTCGCCAGTTTAATTTGCAAAACAAGATACCCCCTCCCAAAACAAAATACCCATATTAGCTTAAAGGTGTTTTTCTTAACATTTTATTTTTTTGTTGTAGTCAGACACAATACTTATTTTTATTAATTTATTTTTATGTGGTGTTGAGCATCGAACCCAGGTCCTCATACGTGCTAGGTGAGCACTCTACCACTGAATCACAACCCAAGCCCCAACTTGAAGGTGTTTCTGACCTAAAAGTGGCCAAGGCCCCACAGAGCTTACTGAAATATGTTGTTAAAACTCTGAACTGGTTTGTGTGAAATCCTCTTAAGGCACAGGTATCTCAGAGGGGTCACAGTTGCAACCTAACCTTATCATAAAATCCAGCATAAGAGTGAAAGATGAAATGGAGGGAGAGAACTGGAACTCCCACAGCTTGCTTTGCAGGGGAAGGTGACTTCCATTAGCTTCTAGTGAGGATTCTAGAAGTCCTGTCCTTTCCTCCCCATAATACAGACTCCATTTAACTGATGCTCCTCTCTCCCAGTCTAGTGAAAAGTGCAGTGGCGGACCCTCAGATACACGGAGTGGGGGCAAGGACTGCATTGAGGACTGAAAAACCTTAGTCCAGGGGATTGTAAGTACAGAAGGTCCAGCATCACAAAGCAGCACCCTGGCCCTGTAGGTATGGGTAGGCTGGGCAGGCGCAGTCATATCCTAGTCTATGTGAATGGATTTGTGAAGTGCACAACTTGCTCTGCCCTGTACCGAGACAGGACGTCGTCCGGGCTGCAGCCTACTTCCGGTCCTTTGGGAGCCAGTTCTTCATTTGCCTGGCCCTGCCAGGGCTTTTTCTCTTGCCAAGAGCCCTTTAACTAAGTGTCATTCTTCCTTCATCTCCTGTCATCCCAAGACCCTCTTAAGCATCTCTCTAGAATCTTAGTGGTGGAGAGGAGGAGTGCGGGCTCTCATTCAGAAGGTTATATGGTTTGCTAACCAAGGATTTGGAAACTTCTCTGGCGCAGGGGCAACCAAGCGGTGCCACCTCCGCTTGTTTGCTCGCTACAAACGCCTTTGGCCGTTTGGGGCAGGACCGAAAGAGAGCGCCAGGTGGCGCTGCCAGCGCCCCGCGCCAGCAGCAGGTGCTGGGGGTGCGGAGAGTCGGCGAGTGGGAAAATGGGAGTTCGGGTGTCCCGGGAAAATTCGGGAGGAGGTCGGAGGTTGGGCACCACATGGGTGAAGGGCATTGGTCCTAGCCGTTCTGGATCCCTCCAGGCGAACTCAGCCTCGCAGCCTCACCGCCAGCACAGCCCCAAATCCCTCCTCCACCCCCGACGCGCGACTTGCTAGGCGCTCGGGACCCGTTCGCCTCTCGCGCGGGTCTCCTCGGACGTCAGCTGAGACCCCGGCTCCCCGAGGTCCTCCATCCCCCTCCAACAGCTTCCCTTGGGAGAAAGGTCCTTGTCGCCCGCAACTCCCGTCTGCCCATCAACAAGAGGATCGCAAGAGCCGCCCGCGCAGCTGTCCTTTACCCCAAGAAAGGAAACTGACGGTCCCTAGGGCGCCGCCACCTCTACTCACCGCGGAGCCTCTCGCGCCTTGCCCAGGGTGCCCATGGCCGCGGCCAAGCGCCTGCAGCCGGCTCACCTAGCGCGGCAGGACCGGCTCGGCGGGGCGCGGCGCATCGCCACGGCCGCCGCCTCCAGCCCTGCCTCTCCGCCCCGGGTCCTCGCCGCCCCCGGCCGTCCGCCTGCAGCTCTCGGAGCCAGGCGAGCCGACAGAGGCGCACCCGCAGGCACAAACTTTGTGTGAGCGCGCCCCCTCGCCTCACTCGCGCGCGCGCACACACTCGCCCGCACGAACCACCTGACAAACGCTGATGTTATCGGCTGTAAGAAACGTGTAGGGCTCTGAGCTCTTCTACGAAACCTGCCCCCATTACTCAGTAGCACCCCAGGCCTGCGCCTCAAACAGATCTCTTTTCACACCCGTCGACTGTCGACCTCTCCCAGGCGAAGGGTTAAGTCAGGGAGAGCAGTGGAGGGGGAAGCTCGCGAATCCCTTGAATCACCCCTGTCCCGGGCCCGGTCCGCTCCTGACAGAGGAGCCATGAGTCCAGCTGTCTACCACCTGAGCCCGAGGGAGCGAGCTTCACCTAGTGGCTCTCCTGGGACTCCTTCCTCCACCCTCGTAGACCTCTCTTGTACACATCAATCAAAGCACAGAGTCGGGGCTGAGAACTAAGACAGCTGTGGAGTTGCTGGAACCTCGCATTTGGGTCTCTTGGTAGTAGTTCGCAAGGTCCGGCCGTCCATGTGTGCGCTGCTCCCTGGAGGAGGGCTGCAGGTGTAGACATGCGCTCTGGAAGCGAGATCCGTGTCTGGACACGGAGAGAGATAGCTGCCTGGAGTTCGTGGGTGTGGGTGATGTGGGAAAAGGAGCAGGGGTGGAAGGGTGGGGGATCCTTCTTACAATGACAAGAATGTCGGCCCAACCACCCCCCACCAGCAGATGTCCAAAGGATGGTAATAACAATAGCTGATGCTGATTGTGTTGTGTGTTCTCTATACCTCAGTTAAACCAATCCCCCAATCACAAAGAGGTCACCCTTTAAGAGATGAGAAAAAAAAAAAGGTTTAGAGAATATCATGTCTCAGATCACACCACCAACTAACACCAGAGAACTGAGATCTGCCTGCTACCTATAATCCCTTGCAGGGTTGTCCTAATAGCACTCTCGTTGTCACATTCCCTAACTCTAGCCACAGTGATAGTTGTCTTCCCAGCCACAGGGTTCTAGACTTTAAGAATGTCACTTACATATTTCCTTATATTTATACGCCACCTTGTCCTAAAGAACAATTTAAGAGCACTTACAAGAGTACAAGACCTCAAAAAGAAGTGTGTAAAATGAAGAATAAGGCACATAAAATGGGACTGGGAATGAACATGATTTGAAAAACTTGTACCCCATAGGATTCAATACATTTGCTTCAAGTGGGGCCACAATATGTGACAGCCCCCTCCCCCTCCCCTACCCCCCCACCCTCGCAGCACGTTCTCAAAAGGAATTTTTTTTTTTTCCTTTGGTGCTGGCAATTGAACCCAGGGCCTCCCACATGCTAAGCAAGTGCTCTACCACTGAGCCATTTCTCCAGGCTTTCTGTTCTTCTTGTTACAGAGACCATAAATATATTTCTTCAGAGAACCCTCCTGAACACTGAGTAATATGAAGAACCAAGTCCTCCGTCACAGCCAGAGAGAAGGGCAGGCAGAAGTTCAATAACTATTAATTAATGACTCTATTCCTCACTAAAGGGCTCTAACTTTCACAAGGTTTTAGTGCTATTATACCTCCTCTCTTATGTGAGCCCTAAAACACAGACAAGCAAAAAATGTGGATGAAGATGAAGAGTCATATCTTTACCTGTATTTATATCTATTTCCAAAAACAATCATGAGTGTGTGGGCTTTGGTTTTGTTCAGAGATCTTCTCTAACTACCAGATACACAACCTTTCACTGATCTCATCCCAGAGTGAGCTCTTTGCCATTGCCCTTCAGAAAGTTAAATGTTGCTTAGACTTCATATTGCCACATAATATTCCATGCTTTTGTCTTATCTCTAGAATCATCTTATCTTTGTCTTATCTCTATATTGTAAATGATGAGGTCAAGGATCAGGTCTTATGCTTTGTTAGCTTCCAAAGAACAGATAGCTTTGAGCAACACATGTGGGTCATAAACTGCTATTGATTCAATTTTGCAATGTGGAACATAATGATCTCAAAGAAGAAAATTACATCCTTACTGATTATTTCTGAAGAAAGGATGTGTGTTTTCCTTAAAAGTCTCTTATATACAGAAAAATTGGTAATCTTCCTGGAGCTTTAACCTCTAGGTTTCATGGGATCCCCTTCACCATTGCTCAATTGCTTCTGTTGAGAATAGAGCCCCTCTGTTCTCAGTCTCTGAACACCAAAGGCCTTGTATGTGGCAAGGAAATCATCCAGACTTATACTGTATGTACATATGTATATATGCCAAGTGACTAATCATATATCTTTATGTAAATACATGATGATATTTATATGTAAGTATGTGTTTATATATACAGATAGGTTATTTGGTGTATACTCTTAATATTAAACACACATGCAGGCAGTTACATACACTTAAATACCTAAATTCCACAAAACCTAAGTAGTACAAGCTGAGATTATTTCTTCATTCGTGAAATGAGTCTTGCTGAGTTAAGAAAGAAGCCTACATAATTTCTTTCTCTTGGGCTTCCTGAAAAATCTACACTTCACCTGTATTTGATTCTGTTTCTGGGCCCACCTGAGATTTTTGTTTTTTAAAAAGTTCAGCTTTTTATTGAACGTATTACAAAAGAATACGTTGAAAAGACCAAAGCCCTTGTCCTCATAAGATTCCTCTGATTCTTCTTTCTTTGCCTCTACTTTCTCCACAGTGGGCCCAGTCCCAGTAATAGAAGGGCAGGATCTCCTTCTGGTGCAAAGCTGCAGCTGGAGTAGGCCTCCCTCCTCGATTTTGCAGTTGAGGCTCTCAAGGTGAATATTGGCCAGGCTTTCTGTAAATAATGCAGGGCAAAAAGGTTTAACATTTACAACAGCTACTTTGTCAAGGGCATTGATCTTCTGTGGTGGTCAACTCAAGTGCAGGATTCGAGCAGAATAGATAGAAGCAAGCTTGAAGACCAAGGCCATGGTTCAGGGAATTCAGGGCTGTCATTGCTGGATGAAGTGAGAGCCTCACCCCAACACAGCTTTAGCATTCTCAGAAGGACTAGAACCTTGGCAGCAGCCGAGGAAAGGGTATACTTGAGGTATTCTGGATGCTTCTACCTGAGCAATGCAACTTTTCTAAATATCTAAAAATTAGTAGTTAGCTTTGTCTTGCTCTTCATCCTCCATAGTCTCCCTGGGTATGAGGCCCCTCTGGCCTTGAGAACAAGGGTTGGTTTTGCTTTTCTTGTACCTTTGTTTTCTTCTTTTCTTCCTCTCCTACTTATTTGATAGGCGAGAGTCAATGTTTCTGTAACAGCTAAGTAGGGGCAATTAAAGTCTTTCTGTCCATCCTTTGGGTGAGGCCATTCCTCTGAACTCTTTCTCTGTCACTTTTTCTCTTTCCAGTCAGGACCTTTTACTTAGATTGGTGGAGATATATTAGTCAGCATTTCCTTGATGTTACCAAAATGCCTGACATGAGCAACTTAAAGGAGGAAAGATTAATATTGGCTCACAGTTTCGTCCACTGTCTGCTGTTGCCATTGCTTTGGGCCTGAGACAAGGAAGAATATCAGGGTGGAAGGGTGTGGCAGGAAAACTACTCAGCTCATGGCAGTCAGGAAGCAGAGGAAAAGGTGGTGGTCAGGGAGAGAAGGGTTCAGGGACAAGTTATAGTCTCCTAGGACATACGCCCCAGTGACCTACTTCCTTCAATCAGGTCTAGTCTTCTATACTTCCCAATAATGCCTTCAATTTACTCATCCGATGGTGAGGACAGAGCCCTCATGACCCAATCATTTCCCCCATAGCCCCAGTTTTGAACACTGTGGTCTTGGGAGGGAGGCACTTCCAAATTTAAACTATAATAGGACAGTTATATGTGCAGCTTCTGACATTATATTCAATTATTTTAATATATGGTTTTCCAGAGGGAAAGTTATACAGCTTTCATCAGATTTTCTCAATGGTCCATTAATCAAGCTACGTGTTTTCACTTTCTTCCATGGCTTCAGCAGAACCCATACAATTCTCCTGAATGTATACCCTTGATGATTGATATTCAGGCCCACATTTCCAACTGCAGCCTCCTTGAGGTATCCTTGAGACTCTCTAAAGGGGTCCTTATGGAGGGCATATATCTTGTATTTTGTGTGAGATCACCCCAAACACAGACCCTACATGTGGACATCCATCCTTGTTTTCAACTGTTTTGAAGAATGCTGCCTGTCTCTACAAAGTCCCTTCCAGAGCCACAAGCATATTTATTTACATTACCAGCGCTTATATTTTCAATCATATGGCCCTAAAGAGTGTCTCCAAATTTGATCAAATTTGGCCTTGGTATTTTTTTTTTTTAGAGTGCTAACAACAACAACAATAACAACAAATAGCAATGACGTTGTCTTGTGACTATTTTTCCTGGTGAATGGGGAGTTTCTGGAGGATTCTGCACAGAGAAGAGCTGGGATCTAACTTCAGCTTGAGCTGGGACCCCTGGGGCTGATGAAAGATACAGGTAGGAGGTTCTGGGAAGAAGTGGCCTCCTAATTTCCCAATGTATGGGGTCTGCCAGGTCTGGCTTTCAAACTGATTTAACCATTACTTGGCAGTGAGAAAGTCATTTTAAGCCTGTGACAGTCAGATTTAAGGTACATGTAAAACTGAACACAAGCTGCTTGAAACAATAATGACCCTTACTACATGTGCTTCTGCAAGATTAATCCTTACTGTGGTTCCTTCAAATTTATTATTTCTCAATGACATTTTAAAAATGCTATTTAGAATCTATTAAATCAATTCATTACTGGGTTGGGATTATAGTTTAAAAAATTCAGTTCTTGTTCTGCCCATCATGACTTTCAGTAAGTCTTGAAAATTACTTCTGGAAAGGGAATCAAGTGGCTCTGGATAGGAGGGATTCTTCATTGTTCCCACTTTATAACTTTTATCTTTCTATTTTTGCATGCATCTAGTCAATAAATAAATGCTATTTCAAATTATTCCAGCACAGAACTTAC